TATGTAATATATAATTTTAATTTTATTTATATAGTTATGGAAAATAAATAATACATGGAAGAAATGAAGGGGGGGGGTTTACGTGTTTTTTTTTAATCATCCCTGTCGGGGCCCCGCCTAAAATGTTCAAATTGGGCCCCGCACTTCCTAAAGCCAGCCCTGCATACAATAATGGCAAAGTTCTTGGTTCAGGCTTGTAGCACTGATAGAATAAACTGCAGGTTCAAATCAAGTCTCTGGAACATCCCCAGCTGGGATGGGTCATTCAGTCCTTTGTATAGAGCTTCCTTTTATAGCAAAGTCCCTCCAGAGCTATGAAGCAGGATTGAAGACAAGATGGAGACGAGGCATCAGCCTTTTATAGTCTCTTGCCGTGTGGTCTTTGCTTTCTTTGTCCCAAGGACACTCTATCCAGCATGTGGCATAGAAAAACCTTAGAGTTCTGTCCATAGGCAGGTCCCTGCATGCCTTGCCGAGTCACAAGGTGTATCTGCCTTCTCTCAATGGGTCAATTGTATAGCTCATGGTCCTTAGAGGGCCATCAAGCAGGCTAGGCAGAACTAACACCAACTTGTCTGGGGTGTTCCCCGGAAGCATAGCACAAGCTTGAAATACAGACAGTATAGAGCCAATATTCAGAACGTCAACTACAAAACTGATACACATATACAAATAGCATAATTCTAATCAGCCAATCAGAACCTCTCCATAGACCCCTTCCACGACAACCTTTATACAATATTGGCTGCAAATATATAACAGTGGTCACAACGGTGATCTGTACAGTTACAGATTATGTCAATAGCGTCACAGGAGGTGACACAGCATCAGTGAGACTGATATTGGAATACTGCATCCAGTTTTGGTGTCCTCCTTTGAAAAAGATGTTGTGAAATTGGAGCTGGGGCAGCAAAGAGCCACCAAAGGTTCTGAGGGCTGGAGAAAAATGCCTTCTAGTGAGCGATTGAAAGAGCTCAACCTGTTTAGCTTATCAAAAGAAGATTGAAAGGTGACTTCATGGAAGTGTTGAAGTGCCTTAATGGAGAGAAAAGATTGGGTATTAAAGGGCTCTTTAATCGAGCAGAGAAAGAGAGAGAGAGTACCTTGCTAACAGGGGAGTGAGAGTGGGGTCTAGTGGTTAGAGAAGGGGGGGGCTGGCATCTAGGACTCCTGGGTTCTATCCCCAGCTCTGGGAGGGTAAATGAGATCTAGTGGGCTAGAGAAAAGGGGTTGGGAGCCAGGACTCCTGGGTTCTTTGCTCATCCCCTTGTCATGCAGTCCAGTGTGGTTCATGACTGTGAGTGCATATCTCAGGGCAGACTGTCAAAAACAGGGCAGACACCCCAAAGTGGTGGTCTGTTGTATAATTTCACCAAGCCAGTAACAAATGTGACAGTTTCAACATAGAGTCACAGACAGGCCCCTTAGACTCTCCAGTCTATCTTCTGCCCAGACAAATTGGACTTCATGATGAATGGTCCCAAAAATCACACCACAGTCAGGCTGGTTGCAGTCCCAGGACACCAGTCACTAACCCCAGCTCAATTGGTGCCCTGGATCGTACACCAAAGATAACGCCTGGAGCCTTGTTGAGATTCCCAGTGTTCACCCACCCCACCCCAGCTCACCTCTCCCTCCCTGCACAATTCGGCAATTTTCTACTTAGGGAGCTGATTATACATCATTCTCTTTCTGTTTCCTTTGACTACTCTAGTTTTACTGCTGCAGGTCACAATACGCCTAGTGTATTCAGTATCCCACCGCTGCCACCATCTGTCACAGAGCCGCAGGATCGGTGCTACGGCCCCAGCTTTGGAACAGTGTCTAGGATGACCCCCTTCAGCAAAACACTTGGGTTTTTCACAGAACGCACTGTCAACCTGTGGAACTCCTTGCCTGAGGACATTGTGAAGGCCAAGACCATAACAGGGTTCAAAAAAGAACTAGATAAATTCATGAAGGATAGGTCCATCAATGGCTATTAGCCAGGATGGGCAGGGATGGTGTCCCTAGCCTCTGTTCGCCAGACGCTGGGAATGGGCGACAGGGGATGGATCACTTGATGATTCCCTGTTCTGTTCATTCCCTCTGGGGCACCTGGCACTGTCCACTGTTGGCAGACAGGATATTGGCCAATGAACCTTTGGCCTGACCCAGTATGGCCGTTCTTATGTTTGGTTTGTCAGTCACCGGGCACACAGTGGACGGGGTCCTTTAGGGAGCACAGAGAACTGAAGATTAAAGCACGGCCCATTCTGGTCAGCCCAGAGACCAGCCAAGCTGCAGTGAACCCCAATCTGAGTTCCTGGGGGGTCAGTCCCCAGGTGAGAGCCCCAACTCCTTCCAGCACCCAACTCTTATCCCCCACCTCACCCCTCCCTAGTCCTTTGTTCCAGAGGTGGGGGTTGCTTCTCAGTTTCCCTGCTGAGAGGTGGGGAAATCCACCTCTCTCTGGGGCGCTGGTTGCCAGGTGACCATGGTCTAGTGGTTGGTTTTGCATCATCTTAGTGGATTTTCAACTGAGATGGGGTCGGCCTGTCCTATTCCAGTGCCGAATCCCAGCAGCGAGGCAACAGTCACGCATCACACATATCTACACTTGAAATGCTTCAGAGGGTCTCTCATCTGCGTAGTTAATCCACCTCCCTGAGAGGCCCTAGCTGAAGTGAAGGGAGAATTCACATACTGACCTAGTGGGGTTAGGTCAGTTTAACTTGCCCGGGGATGTATGTGGATTTTTCACCCCCCTGAGTGACAGTGATACCGACCGAATTTCCCAGCACAGGCCAGGGGGGTGTCTCCAGCCTGCCCTGAGAGCAAACAGTCCTTTCCCACCCACACAGGGGGTAACAATGCAGCATGCAGGGGAAACTGAGGCACAGCTAGGGACCATACAAATAGTACAGAAAATTCCCACTTTGTCACACTTGCTCTGGGGAGTCAGTGCTGTGCCTGGCACGATGGGGATCCAGATTTTGGTCGGGGAGAAGGTCTGTGCAGTGCCCAGCACGATGCAGGGACTGAGCTCAGTTGGGGGGGGGGCGTGTCTGTGCCCAGGGGTCCTGATCTTGGTCAGTGTCTGTACAGCACCTGACACAACGGGGGCCCCAATCTCGCTCAAGGGGGGGCGGGTGTGACCAGATAGCAACTGTGAAAAAACTGGACAGGGGTTGGGGGGTAATAGGCACCTATAGAAGAAAAAATCCCAAAGAACGAAACTGTCCCTTTAAAACCAGGACATCTGGTCACCCTACAGCGCCCGCACTCTGCCATGCCACCGCTGATACCAAGCTGCCAAGCCCATGGGAGGCTGTTGCCGTGGCAGGACTGGCCCTAGTTGCAGGCGGCACCAGCTGCTGCGGGATAGGTCACGGTTGCTGCCGGGAGGAGACAGAATTTGCAAAACCGATTTATTGACGATTTTCAGAGCACAAGTCCCGAGATCAGAGCAGCTGTGGGGCCCTTCCCCGTCGGCTTCCCAGTCACCCCGGGGTTGCTACAGAGCTGTAGGAAAGGCTGGATATAACCCACCACCCTCTGCCCTCACCTCCCCATAGCACCCCCGTGCTTCCATCCACCAGCCTCTCCCAGCCGCGTCCCACAGACCCCAGCAACGTGGGGCCCACACCCAGTGCTAAGGGGGGTCTATAGACACCTCGGCTGGCGGGGGGCTGCCAGCTCTGCTCTCTCTGCCACTCATGCTCAGGAGGGGGGGTTCTGCTCCCATGTTATCTGGGCCGGGGGGTTGGCATGGGTGGGAGCCCCAATGGGGCAGGTCACAGGGCCGTCAGCAGGAGCCGAGCAAGGACCAGTACAGCCAGAGCCAGCGCTAGGCATGAGCAGACTAAGCCATTGCTTCGGGACCCCAGTGGGGTAGTACCGGCCCTGGGTACGGCAGGAGAGACGATCGAGAGGCCAGCGTCACCCGTGACATTCTGGATCCAGTTGACATAGACTGGGACCCGGACGTGCACCCCTGGGTGGGGGGGTGGGAAGGCTGTGCAGTTAATCTCCCAGTTGGCGATCCCAGCCAAGACAAAGCTGCCATTGCTTGCACAGAGCAGAGGCTCCCCAGAGTCACCCTAAGTCGAGAGAGAGGGACATTACGGTCAGACAGCCTCCCTTCGAACAAAGAGGCTCCTCTTTTTCCTCTACCAGATACAGGGAGAGAACCCAGGAGTCCTGGCTCCCCCTCCCCGCTCTAACCCAGAAGACCCCATTCCCCTCCCGGAGCCGGGAGAGAACCCAGGAGTCCTGGCTCCCAGCCCCCCCTGCTCTAACCCACAAGATCCCATTCCCCTCCCGGAGCCGGGGAGAGAAGCCAGGAGTCCTGGCTCCCAGCCCCTCCCTACTCTATCTCACCAGACCCCACTCCCCTCCCGGAGCTGGGGATAAAACCCATTTCCCTCCCATGCCATGTCCTGCTGCAGTGCCGGGGCAGAGCTACCGCCCTTGTTAGATTTGTTTTCTCTGGCATTAAGCTCAAGTTAAGTTTAACCCTCTCAGTTCGGTGGGGCCAGAGCTCAGAGAGTTTCCCCCCATCCTAGAGTGACTTGTGAGATCTCCCAGAATGCACTGCTGCTGGGAGAGCTGCTTTCTTCGTCAACGAGACGTGGAGGAAGATCAAATTAAAACATGACCCACGTGGGCCTTTTTTGAGAGCGGGGGAGGAAGGGCCAATATTTGCAAACAGAACAATGTGCCAGATAATTTCTAGGAGCCCCAGTGCTGCCCCCCCTAAGCCAAGTAGCCCACCTCACAGGGGCCAGTACAGTCACCTCCGGACCCCGCGCACAGCATGTCATCTTGGATCTGATATTTGCATTTTGAGACATTTTCTTTACAGGTCGACACAGTGATGAGGGGAACGTGAAGGGTCTTGGGCGGCTTCCATGTATCTGGAATGAGAGAGCCGGGGATGGAGCCACTGGGAGGCCGAGGGAGCTGGAAAGGACGGGGCCGTGCTGGGAAAAATCTCTCCCAATCTAACGGACTGGCCGAGTGTGTGAACAATGTCGCCATCTAGGGGCTACAACTCACAGTGCACATAAACGTCACAGTCAGGGGAGAATCTTTGTGTGTGTGTGTGTGTGTGTGTGTGTGTGTGTGTGTGTGTGTTGCGGCCCCCTGCTGGAGAGGACCAGGGCAGTGTGTGTGCAGAGTGCCGGAGGGGATCAGGGCAGTGTGTGTATGTGTGTGTGTGTGTGCAGGGATCAGGTGTGTGTGTGTGCGCGCAGTGCTGGAGAGGACGGGGCAGTGTGTGTGTGTGTGCAGGGATCAGGTATGTGTGAGTGCGTGCAGTGCTGGAGAAGATGGGGGCTGTGTGTGTGTGTGTGTGTGTGTGTGTATAGTGCTGGCCCCGGCTGGAGAGGTCTTGGGCAGTGTGTGTGCAGTGCTGCAGGGGATCAGGGCAGTGTGTGTATGTGTGTGTGTGTGTGCAGGGATCAGGTGTGTGTGTGCGCGCAGTGCTGGAGAGGACGGAGCAGTGTGTGTGTGTGTGTGTGTGTGCGCGCGCGTGTGGTTTCCCTTGTGGCTACACACCCCTGTGTGTTCAGAGCTCAGGGGAAGGGCTCACAAATTCTGGAGCCATTAGACACCCCCAGGGATAGGGGCTGAACACCAGTCCCCCACAGTCACCCCCTTAGCCCCACCAAGCTCCTAACCCCACCCTCACCTCCACAGCCCCATCTGATGCTGCCCCAGTCAGTGACCCAGCACTTTCCCCCTGCTGGGAACTGGGTGGAGGGGCCCGGCAGGGAGATGGGGCGGATGGTGTCCGTGAAGTTGACCGGTTTCATTAGCTGCACCAGGGCGATGTCGGCGAAGAACGTGCTCTGGTTGTAGTCAGGGTGGATGACGATGTGACTCACGGGGAACGAAGTCCGGGTGAAGAAGGGGTTATAGAGCTGGTACTCTCACAGGTTCATGCGATACGCAGAGTCAGGGAGATAGCTGGGAGAGGGGGCGGAAAAGACCAATCAAGGGGGGGAAGATAGACTGTGAACATAGACAAAAATGCAGCCACTTCTGGGGCAGAGAGGCTGGGGAGCAGTCACACAGCAACGCGATGCCTCGCCCAGCACTAAGATGCAGCCATCTCTGGGGTGGGGGCAGCAGGGGAACAGCCACACTGCACCATGGCGATGGTTTAACCAAGAGCTGGAAGACATTAAGGGGGCTGACGGCCACAGCCAGATGTCACTGCAAGCCAAGTAAGGGCAGCCTGGGATCCCCTTCCAGGGTTACTCACGGATCGAAGCAGTGAGCAGCTGACACCACCCCCTGGGCTGAGACGAGGGATCCTCCACAGACGTGGTGGTAATATTCCTCCACACTGACGTGCCAGGGCCATCGACCCTCCTGTGCATCCTGCCCCCCGATGATACGGCTGAACACTGCACAAACCAGGGAGCCGTGTTAACACAGGACAAGGTGCACCTCTCTCCCCCCCAGAACTAAGGCTGGAACCCAGGAGTCCTGAGTCTTTTCCTGGCTGGTCTTGACTCTCCTCAGCACCTGTGGAGGGAACAGAAATATTGGGGAGACATTACAGTGTCGGGGCCATGGGGACAAGAGCAGCATTAGGGTCCGAATGAGGATTGGAGGCTGGAAAGTACAGAATAGGGCTGGAATACAAGCCCCAAACACTGTCCAATAGCTCCTCCCATAATCCCCATACTGCATCCCAAATCGTAGGTGGCTACCATGTCAGTAGGTTTCAGAGTGAACATCGACATGAGACGAACAAAGGCTGCTCCCAGCTTTCAGAACCACATGTGCTCTTTCCACCCAGACAAGCCTCAGGGCAGGAGATTGGGACAGAAGAAATGGGAGGGGGGCTGGGGGCTGTGGCCCCTGTGGGAGTGAGTCAGAGTGGTTGGGGTCATGCCGGCCCCTGCAGGGGGTGTCTGGGGGGTGGGGATCAGGGTCCCTTTCTGCACATCAGGGCCTGGGGACCAGCACTGTCATTTCTGCCCCTCTCTGCACAGGATCCGTTTTCCTCACATGTCCCCAGACCTACAAACCCGCAAACCCAGGCTCTGGGAAAGGGTCAGAGCCAGTCCACTGGGGCAGGATCATCCCATCCAGTCTATCCCCCCTGCCTAGGGCAGATTTGTCCCCTCTGCTCCATTCCCCATGGCTCTGCATCTCTCTGGATCCCTTGGTCCTTCTTACCATGCACTGGGGACGGGAGCACCAGCAGCAGCAGCGCGGCCAGCGGGGAGCAGAGGCCTCCCATGATCCAGCCCCACAGGAACTCTGGGTCGGGACGGCCCAGCTCAGCCTCCAGCCAGCAAAGCAGACAGCCGTGTGCATCAAGAAGCCACAACACGTCTGAGCCCGTATCTCCGGTCCCCAAGTTCTCTGAAATACAGGAAAGTGAAAGCAGAAGCTCATAGACCCTCTTCTCCCCCTCCACTCCGTGCATGGCTTAACCGAGATCTGGTCCTTGCCAGACCGTACCCGTTGGGAGGAGAAATCAGTGCTGAAACTCAAGCCTGCTCTGTGGAACCATCCCCAGTCAGTGGACCACCTGCCCAGGTTTTCCCAGGACTGTCCCTTTGCTGGAGGTAGCCGGGCTGGGCCTTCTGTCCGGTGCTCGGTGCCCACGGCTGGCCAGTGCTCTGGGGTCAGGAAACCCCTGGCCGGCTTGTTCTTCAGTACCTCCCCCCTGCTCCCCTCCACTTCCAGGAACCTGCCTGCACCGCATTTTCCCCAGGCAGGTATCGCAGAGAGCAGCCTCCCATGCTGCTCTCGCTTATTGGCCTTCAGCAGCCGGGGGCACCAGAGAGATTTCCTGCCCACGCAGCAGTTTGGTGGCAGGGGGTAGCAGGCAGGGAGGGGAGGTACATGGCGGGGGGGGCTATTGAAATACGCCACCACCACTGAGCTCAGAGCGGCTTTTTTCCTTTACCCTGCCATGGCTCCTTCACTTGTGCCCCATCCCCCAAAACTTCACACCCTCTCGCCCCCACCCCCGCACAGCCCTGGCTGACGTATCCCAGCCGCAAACGCAGTCAGTCTCTGCAGCATCCGGCACAACGGGTACCCGATCTCAGTCAGGGGGGCCTGGATCTCAGTCAGGGGGGTCTGTGCAGGGCCCGGTGTGACAGGGATCCTGATCTCGGTTGGCCTTCAAACTATGAAACACATCAAAAAGTGATCCGATCTATCACCTCCTGATAAAGGGAAGAGCCTAGAAGATTTAAAGAAAACTTAGTTTGATAGCTTTCTGTTTGGTAGTTGTGAAACCCTCATTTCTTTATTGTTTTGTCTTTGTGGTCCCCACTTCTCTATTGTTTATCTGTATGGCCTCTGTCTGGTGCTTTGATTGTTTCTGTCTGCTGTATAATGAATTTTGCTGGTGGGATATAATTGATTAGATAATCATGTTACAATATGTTAGGATTATAGAATCATAGAACTGGAAGGGACCTCAAAAGGTCATCATGTCCAGTCCCCTGCACCCTTGGCAGGACCAGCGCCATCTATAACATCCCTGACAGGTGTTTGTTTAACCTGCTCTTAAAAATCTCCAATGATGGAGATTCCACAACCTCCCTGGGCAATTTATTCCAGTGCTTAACCACCCTGACAGTTTAGAAGTTTTCCCTAATGTCCAACCTAAACCTCCCTTGCTGCAATTTAAGCCCGTTGCTTCTTGTCCTATCATCAGAGGTTGAGAAGAACAATTTTTCTCCCACCTCTTTGTAACAACCTTTTAGATACATCTCTACCCCGATATAATGTGGTCCGATATAACGTGAATTCGGATATAATGTGGTAAAGCAGCGCTCCGGGGGACGGGGCTGCTTTACTTCGTTATATCCGAATTCGTGTTACCGCAAGCGATTCCTCTGCTCCCGCCGGTTACTTGCTGCGGCCCTCCCCAGAGCCCCCCTGC